CAATTTAACACTGATCAATGTTAAGAAACATGAAGGTTTGATGTAATGGATTAGAAAATCAACAAGTTGAAGACTGAGACACTTGTGCAGGATATCTTTAGTGAGGAAACGTTTCACCAGCCAGTGACTTCTTCTGTCCGGTACACAGAAGAACAGTGGAAGAAAGGGAGAAGTTCGAGGTAATCAGTCCTTCAGCTTCCTGATTATCTCAGAATGAGGTAATCAGTCCCTCGACTCCAGGCTGAGGGACTGTACATATTTGTGTTTGCAGGGGTCGATTCTCAGCTCCTGGTCCAGCTTCCTGATTAGGTAATCAGTCCCTGGACTCCAGGCTGAGGGACTGATTACCTCAAACTCCTCCTCATCATCCACTCTTCTTCTCTGTACAGGACTGAAGAAGCCATTGGCTGGCGAAACGTTTCCTCAATAAAGACACCATATGTTGCACAAATGCGTCAGTCTTCAAAATGAAGGTTAGACTACCTGGTAATAGCCAGTAAACAGCGACAACCTCACTTATTACACTCAGGGAGGAAGCGCTAAACCAGTAGGGAATAATTTAGCAGCTGGAGCATGGGAGGTAATCGGGTTTGATTCGGGGAGGTGGGTAATTCTAATTCTTTGGATCAAGAGCTCTTTATAGGGTTGAAGGCACCTCCCTGGAGGGGGAGATAATATATTGACAAGATCATGTTAATATATTGAGAAGATCATGTTAATATATTGAGAAGATCATGTTAATATATTGAGAAGATCATGTTAATATATTGACAAGATCATGTTAATATATTGAGAAGATCATGTTAATATATTGACAAGATCATGTTAATATATTGAGAAGATCATGTTAATATATTGAGAAGATCATGTTAATATATTCAGAAGATCATGTTAATATATTGAGATTATGTTAATATATAAGTGTGGGCGTGTGGTAGTACCCAGGGTGTTCAGTCACACCTGCTACCTCGTGTGGTAGTACCCAGGGTGTTCAGTCACACCTTGCTACCTCGTGTGGTAGTACCCAGGGTGTTCAGTCACACCTGCTACCTCGTGTGGTAGTACCCAGGGTGTTCAGTCACACCTGCTACCTCGTGTGGTAGTACCCAGGGTGTTCAGTCACACCTTGCTACCTCGTGTGGTAGTACCCAGGGTGTTCAGTCACACCTTGCTACCTCGTGTGGTAGTACCCATGGTGTTCAGTCACACCTTGCTACCTCGTGTGGTAGTACCCAGGGTGTTCAGTCACACCTTGCTACCTCGTGTGGTAGTACCCATGGTGTTCAGTCACACCTTGCTACCTCGTGTGGTAGTACCCAGGGTGTTCAGTCACACCTTGCTACCTCGTGTGGTAGTACCCAGGGTGTTCAGTCACACCTTGCTACCTCGTGTGGTAGTACCCAGGGTGTTCAGTCACACCTTGCTACCTCGTGTGGTAGTACCCAGGGTGTTCAGTCACACCTTGCTACCTCGTGTGGTAGTACCCAGGGTGTTCAGTCACACCTTGCTACCTCGTGTGGTAGTACCCATGGTGTTCAGTCACACCTTGCTACCTCGTGTGGTAGTACCCAGGGTGTTCAGTCACACCTTGCTACCTCGTGTGGTAGTACCCAGGGTGTTCAGTCACACCTTGCTACCTCGTGTGGTAGTACCCATGGTGTTCAGTCACACCTTGCTACCTCGTGTGGTAGTACCCAGGGTGTTCAGTCACACCTTGCTACCTCGTGTGGTAGTACCCATGGTGTTCAGTCACACCTTGCTACCTCGTGTGGTAGTACCCAGGGTGTTCAGTCACACCTTGCTACCTCGTGTGGTAGTACCCAGGGTGTTCAGTCACACCTTGCTACCTCGTGTGGTAGTACCCATGGTGTTCAGTCACACCTTGCTACCTCGTGTGGTAGTACCCAGGGTGTTCAGTCACACCTTGCTACCTCGTGTGGTAGTACCCATGGTGTTCAGTCACACCTTGCTACCTCGTGTGGTAGTACCCAGGGTGTTCAGTCACACCTTGCTACCTCGTGTGGTAGTACCCAGGGTGTTCAGTCACACCTTGCTACCTCGTGTGATAGTACCCAGGGTGTTCAGTCACACCTTGCTACCTCGTGTGGTAGTACCCAGGGTGTTCAGTCACACCTTGCTACCTCGTGTGGTAGTACCCAGGGTGTTCAGTCACACCTTGCTACCTCGTGTGGTAGTACCCAGGGTGTTCAGTCACACCTTGCTACCTCGTGTGGTAGTACCCAGGGTGTTCAGTCACACCTTGCTACCTCGTGTGGTAGTACCCAGGGTGTTCAGTCACACCTTGCTACCTCGTGTGGTAGTACCCAGGGTGTTCAGTCACACCTTGCTACCTCGTGTGGTAGTACCCAGGGTGTTCAGTCACACCTTGCTACCTCGTGTGGTAGTACCCAGGGTGTTCAGTCACACCTTGCTACCTCGTGTGGTAGTACCCATGGTGTTCAGTCACACCTTGCTACCTCGTGTGGTAGTACCCAGGGTGTTCAGTCACACCTTGCTACCTCGTGTGGTAGTACCCATGGTGTTCAGTCACACCTTGCTACCTCGTGTGGTAGTACCCAGGGTGTTCAGT